AGTAACCAATGTAAAAGAATCCAAAAAAGGTTATAACAAAATGAATGAATGCATTCCTTTCATTTGGATGATATTACATGATGCAACAGCAGTTCAGACCCATGGGGAAATAAATTTAATTTCAAATTCGTTTGATAATTCAGATTCGAGTAAAGTTTTGGTTTAAATTGAATTTGTAATTGTCACAGTCAGTCAGTTCAATTCCATGGGCTAATGCAATTTTTAAGTTTTAAAAATTTGGTGTAGCAAAGAGAAAGTCCATGTTCCGCACATCATAACATGATCCCCATGATTAAGTTCTGAGGGGCAGAGCAAAATGTGTTGAGGGCGTGGCCAGGGGCGGACTGACAACTCATAGGTCCCCTGGGCAATAGGGGATCATGGGTCCTTGCCCAAACTCAAAAAAGCCTATGAAAAAGGTACCAGGGGCATCTCATGGGGCCCCCTACTGACCCCGGGCCCTCGGGCAGTGCCCGAGTTTCTAAATGGTCAGTCCGCCCCTAGGTGTGGCCTAGCTGGAGCCGAGGCTGCCATTCACTCCTTCCACATAGGTCTGTTATGATGTGCGGCACATAGACTTTTTCTTTGCTACACTGAAGTTTGGAGCCAAGACAAGCTTCTTTCCTGGCCAGTGTTGGTCCAGAACGGTCAGCTATGGACCAGCACCTCTAGCCTGAGCGGCACCCATTATTTGCTTTAAGGTCACAGTGAAAAATTTGGTGCCAACCTAATTTTGAATTATTCACTCCGTTGCATCCGAAAATATCAATTCCTTCTGAATAGTTTTGATATATAAATAACAAATCCACCTGAAATATTGAATTTGAAAACTAATATATAGCAATCTTTGGAAAATAATTTTTTTAATTCACCCCGACCAACGAATATATGAAACAAATGCAGAATATAATGAAATGAATACCCAAAATGAATTGGTTCAATGTAACAAATATCACAAAACAAAATTCTTCAATGAACGAATGCATCCAAAACTAAATGAAAATCTCCAGCGTGCACGTCTATTAAATAATGAATTTTTTATACATTCCATATAGATCATGTGATAAATAACATGTACCTTATGTAACCATGTTGCCATACCCTATTATGGTGCATTCACCTTTCTGAATTTTTATTTCTAATTTTTATTTCTCATCTTATACATCTGATTACTCTCTCATGTGATTATACTGATAATATCAATTTTATAATATTTTTTTTATATGATATATACACACTCAACAGCCACTTTATTAGTTACACCTGTTCTATTGCTTGGTTACACAAATGGCTAATCAGCCAGTCACATCCAAAAACGTAAAGGTATTTTATTGGGATTTTATATGATAGACCAACACAAAGTGGCACATAATTGTGAAGTGGAAGGAAAATGATAAATGGTTTTCAAATTTTTTTTTACAAATAAATATATGAAAAGTGTGGCGTGCATTTACATTCAGCCCACTTTACTCTGATACCCCTAACTAAAATCTAGTGGAACCAATTGCCTTCAGAAGTCACCTAATTAGTAAATAGAATCCACCTGTGTGTAATTTAATTTCAGTATAAATCCAGCTTTTCTGTGCCCTCAAAGCCCTCAGAGGTTTGTTAGAGAACATTAGGGAACAAACAGCATCATGAAGGCCAAGGAACACACCAGATAGGTCAGGGATAAAGTCATGAAGAAGTCTAAAGCAGGGTTAGGTTATAAAAAAAATATCCCCAGCTTTGAACATCTCACAGAGCACTGTTCAATCCATCATCCGAAAATGGAAAGAGTATGGCACAACTGCAAACCTACCAAGACATGGCCATCCACCTAAACTGACAGGCCGGGCAAGGAGAGCATTAATCAGAGAAGCAGCCAAGAGGCTCATGGTAACTGTGGAGGAGCTACAGAAATCCACAGCTCAGGTGGGAGAATCTGTCCACAGGCCAACTATTAGTCATGCACTCCACAAATCTGACCTTTATGGAAGAGTGGCAAGAAGAAAGCCATTGTTGGAAGAAAGCCATAAAATGTCCTGTTTTCAGTATGCAAGAAGCCATGTGGGGGGCACAGCAAACATGTGGAAGAAGGTGCTCTGGTCAGATGAGACCAAAATTGAAATGCTATGTGTGGTGGAAAACTAACACTGCACATCACTCTGAACACACCATCCCCACCGTTAAACATAGTGGTGGCAGCATCATGTGGTGGGGATGCTTTTCTTCCACAGGGAAGCTGGTGAGAGTTGATGGGAAGATGGATGGAGCCAAATACAGGGCACTCTTAAAAGAAAACTTGTTACAGTCTGCAAAAGACTTGAGACTGGGGGCGGAGGTTCACCTACTAGCAGGACAATGACCCTAAACATACAGCCAGAGCTACAATGGAATGGTTTAGACCAAAGCATAGTCATGTGTTAGAATGGCCTAGTCAAAGTCCAGACCTAAATCCAATTGAGAATCTGTGGCAACAAGACTTGAAAATTGCTGTTCCATCCAACTTGAAAATTGCTGTTCCATCCAACTTGACAGAACTTGAGCTATTTTGCAAAGAAGAATGGGCAAAAATGTCAAAATGGGCTGAATACAAATGCACGCCACACTCTTCACAGATTTATTTATGAAAAATATTGAAAACCATTTATCAGTTTCCTTCCACTTCACAATGATGTGCCACTTTGTGTTGGTCGATCACATAAAATCCCAATAAAATACATTTACATCTTTGGTTGTAATGTGACAAAATGTGGAAAATTGCAAGGGATATGAATACTTTTTCAAGGCACTGTGTGTATATATATATATATATATATATATATATATATGTATATAAATAGTATATTTCATATGCATTATGTGAAAAAACCCATGTTTTCTATGTAACCTTTACCTAGCAGGTACGTTTGCTTTTACCCTGGACTGAGGAAAGTGGCAAGTTTAGCCACGAAACATGTTTTATCTGGTGAACTAAAGAACCCTATTATTCAAGTACGGTTGACAACTCCTACCTATTTTTATATATCCTATATCGGGCGGCTCTGCTGATTGAACCACTGACGGCCTTTTTACTGCAAACTCCTTTTGCACACAACCCACTGCTTGCACCCGCCTGAGAACCCCAGATAGGACCAAGGAGGGGAACACCCAAGGCATAGGGATCAACCACCACTTCCCTGCGTTTAGATGGGTTTTCTAGACTGGCGCTCTCAGACGGTTGCTTGTTGTTCCCATACCTTTGGGTGACTGCAGCCTAAACAGCTGTAAGTTAATACTAACTTTTTTCCTCTTTTCCTTTTCTTCCCATTATGGAGCCATATTTTTGAGGGATTCTTAATTTTTTTGCAGTTAAAAAACATACCACTTATCGAGCAATTTAATACACTATAAGGGCTCTGCTGTCTCCTTCTCTTTTCTTTTTTGGGTGGACACCCTGAGCTTATACCTGAGACTGCGAGCCAGCCTCGTTGGGACCATATGTGTTTGAGCTACGCTTGACCGCCACACCACAACCTCTATCTGCCTCAGATAAACTCTTTTCCAATCAATTTTCTTTCATTTTAGCTCTATCTGTGACTCCATTGTGGACATTTTCACTCACTGTCTGTCCGTGTGACACACATAGAAATGTGGGGTAGCAGTTGGGAGACATGGACAAAAAACATTGACAACAGTTCTAATCTTTCCTCACTCTTTTATATTCTTTTATATGTGTCCCTGTCCTCATAGGAAGTAAGGGGAAATGTCCCTAATAGAGACACAGCATTAAAAACAAGGCCAAGGCTCTTAGCCCTCCCAGTCAATCCAAAATAAAATAGTTGTTTTGGCTAGAGTTAAGCTGAGTTAGGTTAAAATGACACTAAACTCAGCTTTAAAAAATTCTATTGAAGTATGAATTCTTAAAGTGGAGCTCCACCAAAAAGGGGAAGTTCCTCTTTAAAGCCTCCTTCCCCTCCTCCTCACAAAATAGCACTTATTTTTGGGGGGCACCCACTCCCACTTCTGCTCGGATCACCTAGTCAATCCGAGCAGAAGTCCTCTTCTCCCCCTCCCTCCCCACAGTCTTCTGCGACATGTCACAGGTCCCAGAAGTCTGTGGGGCCATTCACAATGCACAGCGCTGGTCGCTCATGCGTAGTGGGCACCCGGCTGTGCAGCTGCAAGCTGTCACAGCTGGGTGCCCACAGTTGAGATGCCAGCGCCGGGGACAGAAGATTGAGGGAAGGAATGGTTTGGTTGAGCACATTGCTGGAGCCTGGGACTGGTGAGCATCTGTTAAAAGTCAGCAGCTCCAGTTTTTGTAGCTTTTAACTTTTATTAAACTGAAAAATGACTGGAACTCTGCATTAACTCAATAGAGTCCCTTCTATTGCTCTCAGCCCTAAATTCCTTTTTTTGGTGCTGTGGTCTGCCTTCCTGTTAGAGGAGATGTTCTTCATGGTACTGGTGTATGTGGAAACATAGCCCCCTTCCTCTTGCTAGCTCCTGAGATAGACTATGAACTGTAGGATTTGCCCAAAGAACAGTGCACATGACTACAACTAGCCTGCACTGCTCATTCCAAAAAAGGGAAGTGAGATGGAAAATAAGAAGTTTGGGAGCTCATGGAGAATGATACAAGGAGGCAGGTAAGTAAGAAGCATATTGATAAAAATAGATTACTGGGTCATCAATTAGAGGATATGTATGGATTATTTTTGAAAAATAAAGATATCATTTAGTGTCACTCTAAGTCAATATAGGTCTGATATTACCAGTACCATTGCAGTCTTAAGATTTATTTTTCTTCTTCTCGTGTTTTCTGTGCATTTTAATTCAGAAGATCCGCATTTCTCCAGCTGTCATGAACTTTCATACATTGAAATTAAGTACATATAAAATGCATCATGGTGAACACAGCCCCAGCATCAACCATATCATGGTAGAGTATGCTGTATGTAGCTGGGAATTTTGATGATATGAAATATGACAGCAGAGGGGTGCGGGCCTGTTTTGATTTGTTGGCAGATCACGCTAACCTTAGTGGTCTTGATGCGTCCTCCCTGGAAAACAGATCCATCCGGAGTTGTCAGGCAGCGTCTGACATTCTTCCTCCTGCAGGCAGGGCTCCATGTCGCACCACCATTTCCCCATCACTATGGAAGCTGCAAAAAGAACTGGAATTGTCAAGGCAAACTGATTTTCTTATAAAATGCAGTAGTGCTGCCTTCTATGCTTACATAAAAGATCTTTGATCGGTTTACTGTTAGGATCTTTAGGTACGACACCTTGCTACATATTCACCAAAAATTGTTTGCTTTAGAAAACTGGACATAAGAGTTTCTCAACTTTTTTTTTGAGGCACCTCAGCCTAATGTAAAAAAACATAAATGTTACTTATTAATGAGAAACCTGAGCCTGGGACATTGCACACAACCACCTTGATGAAATAAACTTCACATCAGAAGCTCCCCTTCACGTCAGAGGTCCCCCATCACATCAGAGGTCCCCCCTTTATGGTAGAGGTCCCTCTTCATGTCAGATGGCCCTGTACACATCAGAGGCCCCTGTACATGTGAGCGCTCCATCACTTCAGTCTCCCTATCATCACAGAGTCCCCCAATCACACAGTCCCCTCTTCACTTCAGAACCCTACCTTTTGGCTTCAATAGTGAGGCAGAGGGCAGGAGATGAAGGAAGTCTGGAGAGGGTGGACTTCTGTACTCTAGTGAATGCTAGGAGTGACCATGCATGCTACCTGTCCTGGATCAGCATTATCTGTTGCCATGATGCAGGTGGGCCAGGTGCTTACACGATAGCACTGACTGATGCTGTCCATCCTGTCCTAGAGCATAACTGGTTGTTATGGTGCTGGCAGCCAGCAGACCTTCCTGCACCATGACAACTCATGACCAGGGCAAACTGGATCCTGTGGCACCCCAGAGGAACCCAAATAAGAAATTGTTTAGGCACCCTGGTTAAGAAACACTGCTGTACATAGTAAGGCAGCCTTTCTCAACCAGGGTACCTGGGGTGCTTTGAGATTTCATCAGGGGTTCCTTGGCAAAATGTCTAAAAATTTCCCAAAACTTGTATACAAGCAAGTGGGTGGAACAAGCCTGCCTTTTAGTTACACAAAGCCACAGGTTTTCATTGTGCACCATTATGACCTTCTAGCCACCGGCCTGACAACCAATGACATCATCAGTTGATAAGGAGGATGTCAGCTGCCTACACAGCATCCTTGTTTGAACCTCCCCTGCCCCTCTCCATCAGTGCTGGGGTCACATTAGCTCAGAGATGGAGAAAAACTGAGGGAGAAGAGAAACAATGGAATACTAGTCAGTACCAGTGTGCAAAAGTGTATGTGCTTTGGAAGAATAAATCGACTCTAATGTTGGGTGTCCTACATGTGTGGGTGTAGCTGCCTTCTATAAAACTATTAGAATCGTTTTTCACATTTTAGGGTGCCCTTTTAAAATTTTGGACAGTCTTGAGGCACTCCATTTTAGAATGGGGTGCATTGGGACTGTCCATAATTTTAAAGGGTGCCTTGACTGAAAAAAGGTTGAGAAATACTGCAGTAAGGTATGATGCCAAACATGCTCAAAAATAGATTGAGGACCAACTGATATCTCATAGGCATTCCTGTGTGATTCCTGTGCAATTCAATGTGGTTGAAATTACACTAGATCATAGCAAAAATAATGCATGCAATTTCTTTCAAAATGCACTGCAGTACCTTGCAATCTGGAGCAGGCAAACACATTGTGTTTGTGATCTGCATTTGGGTGTTAGGAGTACGTTGACACCAACCGCAGATTGCATACTTAGTTGCATTTTGAATGCCGTGCAGGAAATTCATATGGAACGTGTGTTTCCTGCACCCTGTTCTTGTGTGAATGAGTCCTTGCGTCTTCTCCTTACGCATTTGTGGGTGTTGGACAGTCTAATACCTCACAGCTGGGGACCATGAAGCCAGTTTCTGAGCAGTCTAAGACCTCACAGCTGAGGACTATGATTCAACGTTCTTTGGCATCTGGCTACCTTGCACCATGCACAACTGTTGGTACCCAGTTCCATCTCCAGAACAGTCACAGGGATCAGTTTAGGGTCTTTTCTCACATGTCCCTGGGACAGCTGCCACCTTCCAGATTCCTCTGGACACAGTCCAATGAGTAAGACAGTCCTTCTCAAGACCAATCCCTAGTGGTGAAGTCCTGGAATCAGTTTATAGCAAGATCCATCCATACCCTCGGCCCTGACACAGCTGAGGCCTCTAAACTGCTGCACAGTCCATGGGCTACCTGAAGGCAGCAGCCTCTCAGACTCTGAAACCCTCCTGGGGAGAAAGAACCCAGAACTCCAGTGCTTCAGACTATTTATCACCTTTCCAGCCCTTTTCTGGACACTCCTCTCCAGGGATTGGCAGAAGTATGATAAAAATCCAGGCTGTTTATTCGCATCTCCCTCCCTAAGGTCTGGAAGCTTCTTCTTGAGGAGCGGGGAAGCAATCAAACTCCCAGCCTGTGAAACCCTGAACAGATCAGGACAAACGATCACTGCTCCCTTGATTACAGAAGGAGCCAAAAACTACATTTACCTAGCATCCTACACTAGTGGGGTGTTACATACAAAACAAAAATTGCAAAGCCAAAAGGGAGGCTTTTTCTTAATGGTCCCTCCTTTGCAAAATGCAGACTATGCCAAGTCCATTTTAATGGAAAAAAATAAAGATTTTATTCAGATTTGCAGAACAGCAAATCGTTTTTTAATTATACCTCTAAATCAGCCACATCAATAGCACAGATTATGAACTATCAATACACAGCTTACCGTCCACACAGGATGGTTTGTCCCTGGTTGTCCCAGCCACCTTCCCAGGCAGGCAGGAACATTGCACCGTCTGTGAGCGCTCCTCAATACGGTTCCTGTTGCAGCAGCGATGGGCAGACACCACCCGACAGGTGCCTCCGGCTGCAGAGAAATAAGAGGTCCTGTCAAATGCCATACTTCCATGTTTGTAATGCTCCATTTATAAAAATATAAACATGCACACATGCCAATTTGTCAGATTTTTTTCATTCTGCTTTAAAGCCAGGCACTTGGATCTTGCAGGGAACAACAATTTACTATGACCAGCCAAGGCCTAAAATTGAAAGTTCAAACTAAGACAAAAAAGGCTACTCTCTTTGAAAGAGCTACTAAAATTTATAACAAAATTTCCTATGCCTGTAAGCCAAAGCTTCCTCTCCCAGAGAACCCTGTGCCCTCTCATTTCTTGTCCTAGTGTGATGTGAACAGGAAGTGACTGAAAATCTCCCCAATGAGAACAAAGACTGAGATAAAAACTTTCACAGATCCAATAATTTATATAGCCTTTAAATGCTAGCATCCTTAAAAGTCATATATACAGCCCTTACATCTCTCTCTCCCTCTCCCTATCTCTCTCTCTCTCTCTCTATATATATATATATATATATATACACTGCTCAAAAAAATTAAAGGAAAACTTTGTAAACACATCAGATGTCAATGGGGAAAAATCTCCTGCTGGATATCTATACTGATATGGACTGGGCAATGTGTTAGGAACATAAGGATGCCCCATCGTTTGATGGAAATGAAAATTATCAACCTATACAGGACTGAATTCAAAGATACCCTGAAAATCAAAGTGAAAATATGATGCAGCAGGCTAGTCCATTTTGCTGAAATTTCATTGCAGCAACTCAGAATGGTATTCAGTAGTTTGTATGGCCCCACATTCTTGTATGCATGTCTGACAACGTCGGGGAATGCTCCTAATGAGACAATGGATGGTGTCCTGGGGTATTTCTACCCAGATCTGGACCAGGACATCACTGAACTCCTGGACAGTCTGAGGTGCAACCTGGTGGCAACGGATGGTCCGAAACATGATATCCCAGAGGTGTTCTATTGAATTTAGACCAGATGAGCGTGGGGGCCATTCAATGGTATCAATTCCTTCATCCTCCAGGAACTGCCTGCATACTCTGAACACATGAGGCCGGGCATTGTCGTGCACCAGGAGGAACCCAGGACCCACTACACCAGCGTAGGGTCTGACAATCGGTCAAAGGATTTCATCCTGATACCTAATGGCAGTCAGGGTGCCATTGTCTAGCCTGTAGAGGTCTGTGAGCCCCTCCATGGATATGCCTTCCCAGACCATCACTGACCCACCACCAAATGCTGAACAATGTTACAGGCAGCATAATGTTCTCCATGGCTTCTCCAGACCCTTTCACGTCTGTCACATGTGCTCAGGGTGAACCTGCTCTCATCTGTGAAAAGCACAGGACGCCAGTGGCGGACCGGCCAATTCTGGTGTTCAATGGCAAATGCCAATCGAGCTCTATGGTGCACAGGGCCCACTAGAGGATGTCGGGCCCTCAGGCCACCCTCATGAAGTCTGTTTCTGATTGTTTGGGTAGAGACATTCACACCCGTGGCCTGTTGGAGGTCATTTTGTAGGGCTCTGGCAGTGCTCATCCTGTTCCTCCTTCCACAAAAGAGCAGATACCGGTCCTTTTGATGGGTTAAGGACCTTCTATGGCCCTGTCCAGCTCTCCTAGAGTAACTGCCTGTCTCCTGGAATCTCTTCCATGCTCTTGAGACTGTGCTGGGAGACACAGCAACTCTTCTGGCAATGGCACGTATTGATGTGCCATCCTGGAGGAGTTAGACTGCCTGTGCAACCTCTGTAGGGTCCAGGTATCGCTTCATGCTACCAGTAATGACACTGACCCTGGCCAAATGCAAAACTAGTGAAACACAGTCAGAAACGATGAGGGAAAAAAATGTCAGTGACCTGTAAAACCATTCCTGTTTTGGGGGTCATCTCATTGTTGCCTTTCTAGTTCACCTGTTGTCAATTTCATTAACATCAAAGCAGCTTAAACTGATTAACAACACCCTCTGATACCTAACTGACCAGATCAGTATCCCAGAATTTTTAACTGACTTGATGCTCTGATTAAAGAGTGTTCCTTTAAGTTTTTTGAGCAGTGTATATACTCTATATACACACACTGTTTACTCTGTATGACACAATATAAAAAAGTAAGAAATTTCTTTATGTTTCAACATAGGGTAACATTTTCATATATGATGAAAACAATCATATGTTGTACTCATCCAGTAACAAAAATCACTAATTGTGAGACACTAATTGTCTCATTAGCGCCTTATACTTGGTGAACACGTTTCACAGCAATACAACACTGCTTCTTCAGGACCTTTTGTTTGTTTGTATACACTGGCTGTACTTCATCTCCCAGTTGTTACATATGAACAAAATAACTTACATTTGTATACAAATATAATCTGTCCCTCATTCAGTCCTATGGCATTGTAGAGGATACAGATCCTCTGCCATAGAGCCAAACACAGATGCTTGCCACTCTTGATCTTACTGTCATTCGGTGTTAGCCATCATTGTGGTGTCTGCGTGGTGGAAAATGGAGTCCCGGGGTTGGTCTCAACGCAGTTGAGGCCAGGTTATTTTTGTTTACACGTGTTTTACTTTGTCCCTTTGTAACAACTGGTGGAATGAAGTATACCTGTGTATACAAACAATAAGAGGTCCTGAAAAAGGGGTGTTGCATTGCCGAGAAACATGTCAACCTAAGTATAAGGCTCCATGCACACCGGGTATTTTAATAATGCTGCTAGTGTTAGCTGTGTAAAGTCACGATAAAAATGCGAGTTTTTCAGCGGTTTTTAGCGTTTTTGCATTACCGTTTTTAACAGGTTTGTTTTCTCCCAAAATATATTTTTTCTTGCTCAAAAAACTGTCCAAAAATGCTAGTTTGCCACGTATTACCACGTTTTCAGCGTTAGAGCGTTTTTACAGCTAAAAAACGCTTCTAGAAACCCACTAGTCCTGGGTTTTTTTCCAGCCAAAAATGGCCCTGTCAAAAAACGCTGATTACAGTCTATGTGTGCATGGTCACATCGGATAACATGCTGAGGAGGTTACTGGCTGTAGAAAAATATGCCAAAAGCCAAAAACAGCAGCTGAAAAAACGTCCAGTGTGCATGAGGACTAAGGAAAAAATAAGTCTATTAAAAAACAAAAAGCCATACAGTGGTATATATAAGCAGATTTATTTCTCTGGAGTCCTGTTAAAAACTCCCACTTCCTGGAATGTCGAACTCTAAGTCCCCTGCTGTGCTCAGTCAATCGTCTGTAATGCCCTCCAGGTCTGAGTAGCAGCCTGGGATGAATCAGCCTGTGAGTGAGGCAGGAGTTCACCTCAGGACAGGCTAGGGAGGTTCTGAAGGCCTAGGTTTATGGAGCCCTCCCACCTCTCCAGAAACCTGAGAGCTTTCTGGAGGAGAGGGGAGGCTCAGATCTGCATATCTAAGGGACCCAGGCTAATCCCCTGGCAGGAGGCTGGGCATGGTGACCAAGGCAACCCTTAAGTATGACAGAGCCTGAGGAATTAGTCAGTGAGTGTAGGGTGGAAGATGGAGTGAAGGCTGGAGTGTGTAGCCTGGGATGGAGTCTAGGGAAGGGGCCTGCCTACAGGCAGGTACTGGAAAAGGGAATCTCGACTTCACCACTGTCTTCTAAGAGGGACATCCTGAGCAGCAGGGAAGGAGCCAGCCCTGCGGAAGACCCGAAGGCAGCCAGCAACCCAACAAGCTGACAGGAAGGACAGTGTGTGTACCCTTACACCCCCTGGGCCAAACAAGGGAAGAGGGCAGTCAGATGGAAATCCCAACTAGCTTCTCATCTGGGACTGTTCTAAATTTTGGGAGCTTCAGGGTCCCTTTGTCCAGGGAACACCCTCAGTACAGCTGGGTGAAAAGGAGGATTCATCTGGGGTCTGAGGAGGTACGATAGAGGGCTTTGAATTCTCTCAGAGAGACTATTTCTTTTTGTCCACATCTTTGTACGTAGTTGCTCTAATTTGTCCTCAAGTTTCTACAGTTCATTGAGCATCCCACACACCCCTCAACTCATCTAAGTTCTAAACCCTTTAATAAAATCACAAAACGAAGCTCAAGGACTGGTTACTGACTCCAGTGTGCAAAGTGTGGAAGAAAATGCGTGTTGCCTGGCTGTGCAGAGCTTTAGGGGGACCCAAAACTCAGTGACTTTTAAGGGGGTAGTGCTACACATCCCACAAACCTCCATGTCACTATATTGACAATACATCAGTTTTTTAGTACATACAGTCAGGTCCATAAATATTGGGACATCGACACAATTCTAACATTTTTGGCTCTATACACCACCACAATGGATTTGAAATGAAACAAACAAGATGTGCTTTAACTACAGACTGTCAGCTTTAATTTGAGGGTATTTACATCCAAATTAGGTGAACAGTGTAGGAATTACAACAGTTTGCATATGGGCCTCTCACTTGTTAAGGGACCAAAAGTAATGGGACAGAATAATAATCATAAATCAAACTTTCACTTTTTAATACTTGTTTGCAAATCCTTTGCAGTCAATTATAGCCTGAAGTCTGGAACGCATAGACATCACCAGACGCTGGGTTTCATCCCTGGTGATGCTCTGCCAGGCCTCTACTGCAACTGTCTTCAGTTCCTGCTTGTTCTTGGGGCATTTTCCCTTCAGTTTTGTCTTCAGCAAGTGAAATGCATGCTCAATCGGATTCAGGTCAGGTGATTGACTTGGCCATTGCATAACATTCCACTTCTTTCCCTTAAAAAAAACTCTTTGGTTGCTTTTGCAGTATGCTTTGGGTCATTGTCCATCTGCACTGTGAAGCGTCCAATGAGTTCTGAAGCATTTGGCTGAATATGAGCAGATAATATTGCCCGAAACACTTCAGAATTCATCCTGCTGCTTTTGTCAGCAGTCACATCATAAATAAATACAAGAGAACCAGTTCCACTGGCAGCCATACATGCCCACGCCATGACACTACCACCACCATGCTTCACTGATGAGGTGGTATGCTTAGGATCATGAG